GGAGGCAAGCAGCACAAATGAATCCTGGTTTATTCCCCATCATATTGTACATCATAACAATAAGCCCAGGATTGTTTTTTAACTGTTCATTCCATTACAAGCAGGACTGTCTGAATGACCAGCTGTTACCAGGCCCAACACTCGGTCCCTCTTTAATCGGTGTACTTCTGAGATTTAGGGAGTATCCTGTTGCAGTGAGTGGGGATATACGCGGGATGTTTCACCAGGTACGACTCCTTGCCCAGGACACACCTCTCTTGAGATTTATCTGGAGAGACATGGAAAGGGAGCGCACCCCAGACATTTATGAATGGTGTGTGTGCTGCCGTTTGGGACCACATGTAGCCCCTGTTGCGCTACATATGCTCTCCAGCGCCATGTGCAGGACCACAAGGAGGGTAATAAGCAGGTACTGAACTGTGTTCTGCACTCATTCTATGTTGATAACTGCCTGCAGTCCCTGCCCTCTCCATCACAGGCAAGGCCACTGGTTAATATCAGAGAACTGCTATCAACAGGGGGCTTTGAGATCAGACAGTGGGCTAGTAACTATCCAGAGGCCATAGCCCATCTTCCAGTTGAGGCAAGATCACCTACCTGTGAGCTATGGCTAACCGCTCACAAACCAGACCTACAGGAGTCCACTTTGGGACTGGCCTGGCACTGCTCGTCTGACCACATCAGCTATAGATGTCGCCCAGTGCCTTCTCATGAGCCGACAATGAGGAACATCTACAGCATCCTCGCCTCACAATACGACCCACTGGGCTTCATCAACCCCTTCACCACACGGGCCAAGCTCATCGTACAGCTACTGTGGCAGAAGGAGAGACACTGGGATGAGCCAATCCAGGGTGAGCTGTTTCAACTATGGCAGGAGTGGGTGAGTGAGCTACAGTTTCTCCCAAATATCAGCATGCCCAGGTCTTACACCACACCAGAGACACAAGATGGAACAGTACAGCTGCATGTATTCTGTGACGCGTCAGAGCGCGTGCTTATGGTGCAGTGGCATATCTCAGATTTGAGTCAGCTGGACACGTAGTGCACACCGCCTTTGCCATGGCCAGGTCCCGTGTAGCGCCAAGAAAACAACTGTCAGTACCCCATTTGGAGTTATGTGCAGCATTGGCAGGGGCACAGTTATCCAAACTCCTCACCAGTGAGCTTACTCTCCCCATCAGTGACACTACTCTGTGGACAGACTCTACCACTGTGCTCAACTGGATTCAGTCCGAGTCATGTCAATATAAAGTTTTTGTTGGCACTCGTATTGCTGAACTACAGGAGCTCACTGAGACTGCCAGCTGGAGATATGTTCCCTCTGCTTTGAATCCAGCAGATGACATTACCCGGGGCAGAGCACTATTGGAGCTGTCTGCCCCAGGCCAGTGGAGGGATGGACCTTCCTTCCTGAGACGAACACCTGAGCACTGGCCAACCCAGCCTGTTATGAGTAATGACTCTGTAGACAATAGTGAATTTAAGAACTCTGTGCTTTGTGCTCATGTTGCTACTAACCCAATACAGTTTAAGTCTGCAGACCATGATTCCTGGGCTGATCTGTTACAGGCCACCTACCTGTCCTCTCACGGGGCGGCTGCCCCTCCCATGTCTGCAGCCCAGCGCCTAGAGACTGAAATCCAGCTGCTAAGACAGGCACAGCTGGATAGTTTTCCGGCAGAAATGAATGCCCTTATAGCTGAAAAGGAGGTGCACACGAGAGTAGCCGACTCCACACCCTGTCTCCAGAATATGACTCCAAGTTTGGTCTTATTCGAGTAGGTGGTCGTCTCCGCCGTGCAGAGAACATAGACATTGACTCTCTGCATCCCATTGTGCTATCACCAGACCACCCCACAACTCAGCTCATCATTAAGGACTATGACTCTCGCCTTCTACATCCTGGCCCTGAGCGTGTCTTTGCTGAATTAAGGCGTGTGTACTGGATTCTAAAGGGAAGGCAAGCCATTAGAAAACACCAACATCACTGTTTAGAGTGTAAGAAGTAGACAGCCAATCCTGTATCACCTAAAATGTCTGATCTCCCTGCCAGTCGGCTGCGCCTACAACAGCCTCCATTCTGGTCTACTGGCATTGACTGTTTTGGCCCCTTTACCATAAAGATAGGCAGGAGACAAGAAAAGCGCTGGGGTATTATTTTTAAATGTCTCACCACCCGCTGTGTTCACCTCGACCTACTTAATGGTATGGATACTGACTCGTTTCTCATGGCTCTGCGCCGCTTCATTGCACGGAGAGGAAAGCCATTTGAAATATTGAGTGATCAGGGCACCAACTTCAAAGGAGGTGACAGGGAGCTACAAGAGGCATTTAAGGCAATGAAGTCTCAGCTGCAGGAAAAGCTCGGCGAGCAGAGCATCACGTTTCATTTTAACCCTCCACATGCTCCACATTTTGGGGGAGCCTGGGAGCGGGAGATCCGCTCAGTTAAATATGCACTTCAGGTGGTCCTCCGGGGTCAGAGTGTAGCAGAGGATCTACTGCACACTGTCCTCATTGAGGTTGAAGGAATACTAAACTCCAAACCACTGGGATATGTGTCCTCTGACATTGCAGACATTGATCCTGTCACCCCAAATATGCTGCTCATGGGGCGGCGGGATGCTTCCTTGCCTCAAGCTGTGTATGGCACCAGAGAACAACTTGGGAGGCGGAAATGGCGTCACAGCCAGGTAATAGCTGACCACTTCTGGACTCAGTTTCTTCGGCATTACCTACCTGCACTACAGCATCGCCAGAAATGGCAACAGACTACTCCAGCACTGACGGTGGGACAAGCTGTCATGGTAGTGGACTCACAACTCCCGCGGGCACTTTGGCCTGTGGGCAAGGGACACAGGTGTTTCCCAGCCCGGACGGACAGGTGCGAGTAGTGGAAGTGACCATTGGGGACCATACTTACCGACGCCCAGTGGCCAAACTTGTTGCACTACCTGAAATGAGTGTAGATGGTACTTAGATGTCGTCACATGGGCTTTTAGTTTTAACTAATGTGCTTCACACATTAGGGGGCGGCTGTATAAAACCCCCTGTGGTAGTTGCCATTGGGACTGCCCCATGTTCCCCCTAGTGGCCACTATAATGGTTCGGTCCACTTTGCGGGGCATGTTCGGTCTGGTCCTGCCCAGTATTATGTTAAGCGGCTGTTTTCGAGTGCAATGTGTTGGACATGTATCGTGTGCGTTAATAATAAGTAAGTGATGCAGTGTATTTCTGTTTGTATGTATATACTTATTATGTTTATTTGTTTAGGCACCTGAATGTAGCCAATATTTTGAGTTCTGTTTCATAATATAATCCTGTTAGTAATTTATACCTGGTGTTTATCTTTATGCTAGCGTACGAGCTATTATTAACGTTTTCACCTTTCATGTCTTACTTCTACGTTGAATGTTGAATATCTCCTAATTAGTGTTAAGTTTTGCTTTGTCCAAACGTCACAGTTATATAATTTATCCGTTTCCGCTAATTAATATTCATGACGTCACCAAACTGTAGACTGAACCTTGCAGTACATTTTCCCAACCAAAGGAGGGCGCTGTTCAGTCACTTTTAAGCCTTGTTACTGTTACATTATTTACCTGTGTATTTATCTGTATAATATTTGATTTTAATTGTTTCCTTTTTGCTGTTTTTGTTACAGAAAACCACACACACACACAAACCAACACATGTATGCACCTGCTGCTACTGTTACTGTTCAAATGGGATTAAAGTTCATTGTCACCTATCAAGTCTCCTGTGCCTTCTGACCGAGGATAGGAAAATCCAGTTGCAACCCCCCGTCCCAGTACTTTGCACACGTACATGTTATCAACAAAATTACTGAGAAGTCTTTTTGTTGACGTTATATTGATTAATTCTTACGCCACTGGGGGAATGTGCAGATTGATGGGAGCACTTTTAGGGTCGAAGTGATTGCTGATTCAACTAAAAACTTAACACACACTTTATGTATAGTAATTTATTTATTTATTTATTTATGTTTTTTTCTTGTGTTTGCTCGACTAGCATTCAAACCCCTCTGTACTGATGGCTGCAATAATGTTATAACTGATTTGTTTATTCTACTATTCAAGAAATATTTAGCTAAACAATAAGATGTGACCTTTGTTTATTCATTTAAAGTACAATCGAGTACCAAAATTAAATCAACAAAAACCAAAATGCACCAACCCCAGACATTCATAACACTTCAAAAGAGTTTGGACAATCATGTTTTCTCCACTCCTCTGCTTCTGCAAAAGTAAATGAGCAGAGGCTGGGGCAATAACCGGAATTGTTACATAAGACTGTTAGTGTTGTTAACCATTTGGGACCTCTGGTTGAGAGAGAAAATAAGGGGAGATTGAGGGTTGTTTCCTGATTCACTGCAGGCGTGGTGGGGGTTGAATAAGGACACAGATTCAGTCTTACAGAACAGTTCTAGGAATACCTGATCTAGAGAAATTATCAAAGGTGAAATAAAATTATGCTCTGTTTTGCATAATTCTGTTATTTTTGTTGTTTTTAGGTTGATTATGTTTACTTTATCTGTCCAGGAACTGCAGAAGCAGCCTCTCTGGCTAGTTCTAGTACATTTACAGAAATGTTGATTAATGTACACTGTCCCTGCTAAATAAACCAAATAAATAAAATCATTACTATAGTAGACCTCATACTAGTACATACCTTAATTACTAAGCTCCTACTGCTGCAACCACACAGTCTATGGCTGAAACCTCTATATTAGTGGAGTAGCTATCTCTTTAACCTTACCTCCTACAGGGCACAACACTAAAACAATCAGACCACAGATAAGCTGCAAAGGTTAATGTTTTAGTTGCCTATGATGACTTTGCATTTTTTTTTTTTTCCAGGTTGAAGAAAACTCCCTTTATTCTCTCCAGGACAAAAGATGATGTCAAAGTCCTGCTGCCGTGAGGGAGTAGGTGAGTGCAGTTAAATACATCTGTGTAATCTGTGTTTGGTCTGTTTGGGAAGCAGTCGTCCACAGAATTGAAACGACACTCAGAGATGGAGGCATTGTACCAGGTGCTCGGGCTGGAGTGGTTAGATTATAGGAGCATTTTGATATTTCTGTTTCTTTTTGCCCTTTTTGCTGATATTGTCAAACACTGGCGGCCTGAAGACTATCCTCCTGGACCATGGCCGATTCCTTTTATTGGCGACATAGCTCGCATTAGACTTTCAACGATTCACCTGGATTTCGCACAGGTACAGCCAAAGGGTGCATAGGCACATCCCAGACTCCAAACACTTTCTAACCCTGAAACGTGACGCAGCATCGTAATAGGTTTTATAACGTGTGTTTCTTCTACAATCTGACGTGTAATTTGTTAAATTAGTCTCCACTGATATAAAACATTTAATGACATAGGCGAACAGCAAGCGGCAACCACTCCAAAGTAACATACTGCACCTTATTAGGTTCAATATTTGTGCTTTTACCTTTTATTTCATGGCAGAGTACAATATTGTAAATAAGAAAATGTGGCTCTTGCCCCCATCTGGGATTATGGCCTCACAATTTAGAAATAATCTCCACAGCAGCGTCTCTGTGTAATTCCTCCATGAAGGATTCTATTCTCTCAGTTAGGCAAAAGTTTTTTGAATGAAGCCATTTCGCAGCTTCTTTAGTTCCGGAGAAGCTGCACAGCTGTGTAATAGTGAACCTTCTGTTCTGGTACCAGTTCTTCTGTGGTTTCTCTTGGAGTGTTATGAGCAATGCATGGGTTCTCATCTTATTTAACCTGATCTTCACCAGAACCAAACGTCCGTTTTTCCCCGGACATGTCCGTATTTTGCGTCATGTCCGGGGCATCCGTTGTTTTGTTTTTTTTATAAAGTGATGCAAATGTCCGGGTTTTCAGTACCGCTCATTCAACTGAGCGTCTCTCGTAGCGTCTGTGACTCAGAAGGAGCGAGCAAACACAAACAGTTGGTCAGTCTGCAACATACCGAAGCACAAATGCGCATTAACAATGACTTGTACAAGAAATTCTCCGTTTTCCGTCCCGGTCGGGACAAGTGTGAGTCCATTTGCACAGGTTGCGAGGTGAGAGTACAGTGTTCCATCGTTTATCGCGGGGGTTACGTTCTAAAAATAACCCGCGATAGGTGAAATCCGCGAAGTCGTCAACTTTATATTTTACAATTATTCTATCTGTGTTAAGGCTGTAAAACCCCTCAGCACAAACTTTATACACTTTTCTCAGACAGGACAGGTGCAACCCTTTTTACTTCCTTCTTAAAACTTATTGCTGCTGTCGTCCTTGTGTTATTTTCTTCCTTCTTTATGTAACAAACTGAAGATTCATTTATTCCATAATGGAGCCGACAGTGCAGAGTCCCGCACGGGTCCATTTTTGGAGACCCCCAGTACAACACCGCACCCGCGCAGTACAGGACCGCACCTGCCCGTTAACCCGAGATTATATCAAACTTTTGCGCTGCCTACGCCACGGACTGAACCAAGACTAAACCAGGACTAACGGAAATACGGAAATATGGTCACCCTATGTAATAGACAACATTTGAATAATGATGCATTAGCAAAAATACGCTTTGATTGGTGACCAATGACCATACAAAACTGTAAAAAAAAAATCCTGTCTTAGTGTGATATGGTCTCGAGTAAATTCTGTTTTGTTTTGTTTTGTTCCTGAGTTAGTTGTGGTACTTGGAATCAATGCTAAATGCAGTGTCCTCTGCTTACACAGCTTGCAAAGAAGTATGGGAACATTTTCAGCATTCGCTTGTTTGGGGGGAACATGGTTGTCATAAACGGATACAAACTGGTGAAAGAGGCTCTGGCGGTCAGAGGAGAGGACTATATCGACCGGCCCACCGTACCTATTTTTGATGACCTGACTGGGAATTCAGGTGTGTTTTAAGGTTAAGGTTTACATATTGTATTACTTTCAGTGGTGCATGAAGTACTCAATATTATTACTGAAGTAAAAGTACAAATACAGGGGCATTTGTTCAAGTTAAAGTGAAAGTATCACATGAGAAAATCTACTTGGCTAAAAGTTTTAATGTACCTGCTTAAAAATGTACTTAAAGAGTAAAAGGTATTTAGCAGAGATTCAGAACAATTAAAAGATGAAATGTAGAGATTTTGTTAAAGATTTTAGCTGATTTTAAGTGATTCAATAGATTTCTGTTTTTTGTGTATTTGGGCTGCTCAAAGTTTGGACTGAAGCTAAAATTAAATGTGCTAAAAATAAGTCTATTTCAGCAGGTCTCAAACCATAAAGAAAAGTACTTTTTACTTTTCAGTTCAGTTAAAAAAATGTACTGTAGTGGAAAGACACTTGTACTTTCACTTTTGTACTTTTTGTTACCTTCCACCGCTGATTACTTACCATCTGATTACCATCTTTTATAATGTTTTTGCATATTCATGCAGGTCTTGTGTTGTCCAATGGCTACTTATGGAAGCAGCAGAGGCGGTTTGCTCTTCACACTCTCAGAAACTTTGGTCTGGGCAAAAAGTCACTGGAACCTGCCATTCAACAGGAGTGCCAGTATCTGGCAGAGGCTTTAGAGCAACAGAAAGGTACAATTAGTTATATATATATATATATAGTTTATTTCATTTGGAAAATAAATAAACCTTTCAGTATACTGTGTTGTGCAATACATCACTTGGAGTGAGTGGAGATGTGTACAATTATGCAGTTTTATAGTCTTTTAAAGGGTAAATTACGGATAAATTATTCCCTGATTGTGGGACAGATGGACTGTCATGCGTAGAGTTGGTGTTTTGTTGTGTTGTTTTTCCTTAAGTGATAAAGAAAAGAAGTCATTTTCTGCCACTGTCTTGTGTAAATGCTCATCAAAGTATGACAACAGTCTGTAATAATCTATGTTGTGGACAATAATCACTCAATCAAACTCTTAGAGCTTCAAGGATCTTCTCTTTTCAGTTCTGGGCCTTTATAAGTAATGATACAGAGAAAACACACACAGGAAATATTTTTTTCTGACTCTCACCCTATTCCAAGGTAAACTTAAAATGGCCATTGCTTTGTTTAATGTTTATTTGTCTTTCTTTGTTACAGGTGAACCTTTTAACCCTCGCATAATTTTAAACAAGGCTGCGTCAAATATCATCTGCTGTTTGGTGTTTGGGGAACGTTTGGAGTACAACAACAAGGAGCATCAGAGGATTTTGATTGATTTCACAGAGCTTGTGGAAGCACAGGGCAGTGTGTGGGCCCAGGTCAGTTTTCAATCTTCATTCATTCATTTTTCATGTGACTCTCCAGTTTAAAAAGGGGTTATTTTACGTCTGTGGAGTATTACATGCTAACACATAACATCACAGATCACTATGTTACCTTTTATTGTTATGAAAATTCTATACTCACCTAAAACAACATATATTAACATGTTTTGTCTTGGATGTAATGGATGGGTGCTTTAAGGTTACTGAAAAAAAAAAAAAGGAACAAGCCCAAACTCCGGCAGGATATGCCAATCCATGGCAACCAAAAATATGTGAAACTTATCGTTGGTATGGTTGAAATGAAAAACCATGACCACGGTCAAAACCACACAATCTGCTCTACCTTTCATCTTTCACAGTGCTAGAGCCCCCTTTATCGTAATGGCTCCACCACCCCCTTTTAAACAAAAAAATAAGGTGCCTTTGTTGTCCTTAACTATTTTTATTATATAGTATATATAAATGTTATCTTAAGTGTAAAATGTTACAACAATAATAATTACACAATAAGTACACAATCACACTTGTACTTCTCCTTGTAGCTCTACAATATCGCCCCCTGGCTGATGAAGAGGCTCCCTGGACCTCACCAAAAAATGTTCACTCTGAGTCAAAACATAATCAACTACGTTCAAGTTAAGATTGACAAACACAGAGAAACCCACGACCCATCCAACCCACGAGACTATATCGACTGCTTCCTCTCAGAAATAGCTGAGGTAGGTGAGCTGTCAGCTCCACCCACATGTGAAGAGGGTTCGGAAGGTGAAGTGTCTAAGAGGTGGTTTTGTTAATCATTTTTCATTAAATGACTAAATCTGGATCATTGTTAACAAAATGCTACCTTATCTCTAAATTTCAATGCTTGACACATCAAAATTATTTAATCTTTAAAGAACTTTGGTCTACTATTTACATTTCTTATAATAACATTGCCTATAATGAAGTAATACTTTATGCTGTGCATTTCATTCGTAGAAAAAAAGACAAAGAGGCTGGGTTTGATCTGAAGAATTTATGTATTTCTGCCATGGATTTGTTTGTTGCTGGCACAGA